CTCAATTTTGTGTCGTTAAAATCTTTTCAGTATTTGTCCTTTCGATAGCTAATACTTTGGCATAAAGTAGTAAATGAACATGCTGTAACCTTATATGGCTCTTCACACAGAAGAATTACATTAACAAACTTAAAGCGTAGCTCTTAACTTGAATGAAAACATAAATGGCAATATTCTTCAAAGTTTTAGGTGACAAACAGCTAGGATTGCACTGAAAAGGAGAATCAAAATCCCCAAAGACCTCTTCAGGCCAGACTCATAGGATCAAATTTAATAAGATAAAATTAAGTGGAGATAAAAAATCAATAAGATAAATACAAAAAAAGAGATGTGACTAAATATAGTTCATGTTAAAAAGAAAAAAGACTTGAGTGTTTTAGTGGACTTCAAGCTCAATATCAGTTTAGAAGCAGTATTACTTGTAGTTAAAAAAACAACAAACTAATGTAGTTTAAGGCTGGATTGATAGAAATATAGCGACTAAAACGGGGGAAATTCAATACTAATGAAACGATAATCCGACTGTACTGTCACCTGGTCAGACCTCAACTGTATTTAACCCTGAGTTCCACATTTTTGCTTCACATTTTCGGAAAGAGATGAACAAAGTGCAAGACATTCAGAGGAGGGTAAACCAGAATGCTTAAATGATATGAAACCATGTCATGAAAGAAATGGCTGAAGGAACTAAGGATGCTTTAGCTTGAAGAAAATATCATGGGGATGTGGAGATTTTCTACAAGTATTTGAAGGATCATCATGTGGAAGAATGGTTAGATTCTAGGGGCAATGGGTAAAATTTACAGATGAAAGTTCAGTTCAATATGAGAAAAAACTTCATCATAATTAAAGCTGTCCAAGAAATGGAATGGGCTACCTTAAGAGGTAACAAGTAGTGCCTCATCATTGGAAGCCCTCAATAAAGATGTCTGGTCACTTGATAGATATGTTGTAGAGGGAATTCTTGCTCATTTATTGGGTTGACTGGATGATTGTTGAGATCTTGTTTAGCACTGAGATTCTAAGATAACAAAATTTATGATGTGTACAAGAAGTGCAAAAATTGGGGGGGGAGCCAAGATGGTGGAGTAAAAGCAGTGACGTGCTTGAGCTCTCCCTCAAACCCCTCCAAATACCTGTAAAAAATGGCTCTAAACAAATTCCAAAGCAGCAGAACCCACAAAAAGGTAGAGTGAAACAAATTTCCAGCCATAGACAACCTGGATGGTTGATTGGAAAGATATATCGCGCCGGGTTGGGAGAAGAAGGCAGTTTGGCGTGGGTGCGCAGGCCGCAGGGAAACTGGAGGAGGCCTCAGAGGACAGAATCGCGGTCAGCTGTGGTGGTTTCCAGACTTCTCAACCCATGAGCACCAAAGACAACTTAGAAGGTCAGTGGGAAAAGTCTGTGAGAGAGAAGGGGGGGGGTTCCCATCCCCATTCCCTGAGCTTGGCCCTGGGGCAGTGTCTGCCTCCTGAGCACCTTCCCCACAAACTGAGGGGGAATCAAGTGGCTGATCAGAGGGATTGCAGGGATCCCTCTGCTGGTGATCTCTGAAAACAGCTGCACAAACCCCTGAAGCTTGGGACAGTACATTCTCCACAATAGAAACAGACCCCTACCTTAACAAAAAGTTTATAACTCAAATAATTGGCCAGGATCACGAGCAAGCAGCACAAAAAGAGTCAGACTATACTATCTTACTTTGGTGACAAAGAAGATCAAAACATACAATCAGAAGAAGGCAACAAAGCCAAAGTTCCTACATCCAAAGCCTCCAAGAAAAATATGAATTGGTCCCAGGCCATGGAAGAGCTCAAAAAGGATTTTGAGAAGCAAGTAAGAGAAGTAGAGGAAAAACTGAGAGTGATGCTAAAGGAGACCCAAAAAAATACTGAAGAAAATAACACCTTAAAAAACAGCCTAACCCAAATGGCAAAGGAGGTCCAAAAAGCCAAGGAGAAGAAGAATGCTCTAAAAAGCAAAACTGGTCAAATGGAAAAGGAAGTCCAAAAGCTTACTGAAGAAAATATTTCCTTAAAAATTAGAATAGAGCAATTGGAAGCTAGTGACTATTTGAGAAATTAAGCCACTGTAAAACTAATCCAAAAGAATGCAATAATAGAAGACAGTGTGAAATATCTCATTGGAAAAACAACTTAAAAATTATTGGACTACCAGAAAGCCATAATCAAAAAAAGAGCCTAGACATCATCTTTCAAGAAATTATCAAGGAAAACTGCCCTGATATTTTAGAACCAGAGGGCAAAATAGAAATGGAAAGAATCCACCGATCACCTCCTGAAAGAGATCCCAAAAGGAAAACTCCTAGGAATATTGTAGCCAAATTCCAGAGTTCCCAGGTCAACAAGAAAATATTGCAAGCAACCAAAAAGAACCAGTTCAAATATCAGGGAGCCACAGTCAGGATAACACAAGATTTAAAAGATTGCAGGTTGGAATATGACATTCTTGAGGGCAAAGAAGGTAGGATTAGAACCAAGAATCACCTACCCAGCAAAACTGAGTATAATACTTCAGGGGGAAAAATGGACATCAATGAGATAGAGGACTTTCAAGCATTCCTGATGAAAAAACCAGAGCTGAATAGAAAAATATGAGTTTCAAATACAAAACTCAACAGAAACATAAAAAGAATAACAGGAAAGAGAAATCATAAGGGATTCAATGAGGCCAAACTATTTACATTCCTACGTGGGAAAATGATACTTGTAACTCCTTAAAAACTTTCTCATTAAGGTAGTTAGGAGTATAGATAGAAGGCAGGTATAAATTGAATACAATGAGATGATATCTAAAAAAATAAAATTAAGGGGTGAGAAAAAGGAATGTACTGGGAGAAGGGAAAAGTGAGAGGCAGAATGGGGTAAACTGTCTCACATAAAAGAAGCACTGTTACAGTGGAGAGGAAATGAGGAAGGCAGAGGGGAGCATGTGGACCTTATTCTCAGAAGAACTGGCTCAAAGAGAGAGTAATATATACACTCAGTTTGGTATAGAAATTTATCTTACCATACAGGAAAGTAGGAGAGGAAGGGAATAAGAGAAAGGAGTGGGTTGATAGAAGGAAGGGTAGATTGGGGGAGGCAGTACTTAGAAGCAAAACAGAAGGATGTACAGGGTGAAAGGAGGAAGTAGTAGGATACATAGGGGGAAAATAAGATGGAGTGAAATATAGTTAGTAACAACAACTGTGAAAAAAATTTTACAGCAAGTTTCTCTTATAAAGGCCTCATTTCGCAAATATATAGAGAACTGAATCAAATTTATGAAAATAAGAGCTATTCTCCAGTTGGTAAATGGCCAAGGGATATGTACATGCCATTTTTGGACAAGGTAATTTATCTATGGTCAGATGAAAAGATGCTTGGGATCACTATTGACTGAATAAATTCAAGTTGGAACACCTTGGAGGTGCCACCATACCTATTGGATTGGTGAATATGACAGAAAAGGAAGTTGGCAAATGTTGGAAGGGATATGGGAAAAATGAGACACTAGTGCACTGCTGGTGGATCTGTGAACTGATCTAATCATTCTGTGGAACAGTTTAGAACTATGCCCAAAACGCTATGGAACTATGCATACCTTTTGACCTATTAGTGTCACTATTAGATCTGCATCCCAAAGAAATGAGAAGAAATGGAGAGGGAGACCTATATGTACACAAAATATTTGTAGCAGCTCTTTTTATGGTGGCAATTGGGGAATGGCTGAACAAGTTATGGTATATGATTGTGATGGATTACTATTGTGCTATAAGAAATGACAAACAGGATGCTCTGAGAAAAACCGGTTAAGATTTACATGAACTTTGCAAAGTGAAGGGAGCAGAAGCAGAACATTATACACAGTAACAGCAATATTATACAATGATCAACTGTGAATGACTTAGCTGTTCTCAGCAATACAATGATCCAAGACAACTCTGAAAGATTTATGATGAAAAATTTTATGCATCTCCAGGGAAAAAACTGATAGGGAAAAAACTGATAGAGTCTGAATGCAGATCAAACATACTTTTTTTTTTAACTTTATTTTTGGTCTGTGTTTTCTTTTACAACATGCATAATATGGAAATAAGTTTTGCATGACTACACATATATAACCTATATCAAATTTCTTGCCTTCTCAAGGAGGAACGGGAGTGAGGAAGAGAATTTGGAACTCAACATTTAAAAAAAGAACGTTAAAAATTGTTTTTACATGTAATTGAAAAAATATACATAGCAAAGAAAAAATGTTAAAACTGAATAATTACATACTTTTGTGATATAATTTGAAAATATCACCTTGAACATTATGCAGTTTTAGATTATGATGGTGGATTAATTTTATCTGAGGTTTGAATACTAAAATGCTTGTAGCATAACAAAAATGTGTAAGTATTCTGAATAATGGGAATCCATCTTATTCAAGTTCTCTTTTTAATAAATGATAACATGTCAAAATCTAGAAATTCAATTCTTGAAATAAAATGGATACCAATATTTGTTGGTAGTATTTTCCTGTAGAGATAATTATTAGAGGTGGGTATAAGTCATTTGCCCGGCAGATGACTAGCCTTTCCATTCACCCTGCTGATGTGCCTTCTGGACTCTGCCTCCCTCCCCATGCTCAAACATTGCAATTCCTTCTCCTGCTTTGGTCTCTAGCTCACCAGGTCTTGCCCCATTTGCCTCATCCTCCAGACTATTAGTTCTTGCACTGTGCCCTGAAGGTGTGCTCTTTAGACTACCAAGCTTTGCCATCTGTCCTGCTGTTGCAACTTCCTCTATGTGCAGTTTCTTTCTATTAAAATGTAAACTTCTCAAGGAAAAAGACTATATCACTTTTATATTTACATCCCTTGCACTAAGCACAGTGCTCAAGTACACTGCTTAAATACTTTTTCATTCACATTCATTCATTGATTCATTCATTGATTCAACCACAAAATTCAAACTAGATCATGAACTGAGATTAGAGGCATTACTTACCTTTTAAGGAGATTTTCTTTCATCTTGGCCAAAGAATCCATAGGTTGTTTCTTAGAGGCTTGTGAAATTGTTAACTGAAAGAAAATTTGAAAGTAATTTATTCTTTACTTTCATGAGTAAATTAAAAAAATGATGACTCAACTAGCTTTGTAGCCAAAGTACGGTCCTAAAGTCACTAGGAGACTATTAATTCATGAGTTATATTTGGCTTTCTATGTATTGGAAAGGTTCTAAACCCTTCCAATACATAGGGGAAACTGCAGCCCTATCCACAAGTTAGAAAATCTCGTAGTAGGAAGGGACTTTAGAGATTATTTAATTCAATCCATAAATTTACTGAGAATGTCTCCTCATGTCCTTAAAGACTGTCAGTAATGGAGGAAGTCAATATATCACCAGGTAGCCCATTCCATTTTTGGACAACTCTAATTGTTAAGAGTTTTGGTTTTTTTTATAGACCTGAAATCTGCTTTAAAAAAATCTTCCCTTTGGGGCCAAGCATTAACAAATGTAATCTCTTCCCCAGGAAAACTCCCCAAACATGGGAAGACAGCTATCACATGCCTCCAAAGTTATCTTTTCTTCAAGATAACAACTCCCAATTCTTTTAAGGGATAACATCATCTTATCATTTGACTTTCCTCCTCAGTACATACTGCAGCTTGCTAATATCTTCCCAAAAGCTTAGCACTATTGTCCAAATGTGATCTGACCAGGGCAAAGTGATGGCCTTACTTGTTCTAGATACTATAATTTTATTAATACAGAATCAAAATGACAAACTCTCGGAATTAGAAGGGACATCAGAGGCTATTTAGTTCAGCTATTACCTGAATAATAATTTCCTCTAAAATATGCCCAAGAAGTAGCCAACCAATGGGGCAGCTAGTGGCACAGTGGATAGAACAGCAGCCCTGGAGTCAAGAGGACCTGAGTTCAAATCTGGCCTCAGACACATAACACTCACTAGCTATGTGACTCTGGGCAAGTCACTTAACCCCAATTGCCTCACCAAAGAGAGAGACAGAGAGAAAGAGAGAGAGAGACAGAAGTAGTCAACCAAACTTTGTTGGAAGATTTCTAGTGTAGAGAACCCCACCACCTCCCAAGGCAGCCTATTTTGCCTTTGAATAGTCTGACTGTGAGTAATCTTTTCCTTATATAAAACCTAAATTTGCCCCCACCCCTTTTTTTGCAACTTCTCCATTTGCCAATCTCTGTCTGCCATCTTTGTCTTCTGTGAACTTCTGGCTTTTTCTACTGCTAGTCTATCTACATTGTAGCTACCTTCATGGTATCTAGTTTGGTGTATATAAAGAAGTAATTTTCTCCTTTACTCTCCTTTTTTCTTAATAGCCCCTACTAGATGTACTCTATTCTTGTCCAGTAGTCTGTCATTCCTATATTTTAAACCATAGTTTGGAAATCCAAATCTTATTCTCAGATTCCATCTTTTTAACCTGTTGTTCACCACTTCCCAAATCTGCTTTTTTTCCCTTCTAACGCTATGATAACAATAGTGATTAATACACATTACTTCTTTCCCTTCTTCCTCCCCTTGCAAAACACTTCATCTACTTTAGCAACATTTCTGAGATTTCTTTTGGCAATATCACATGCGCTCACATGAAATCACAAGAAGTGAGTTTATGTCAAAGTGATTATCAAGTCTTGGGAGATTCTCTCATGGCCTGGTAAGACAACAGACTTCTCTATCACTGTTATTAAATTGACAAATAGATGCCTCAGGAGTCCACAGTAGGGAGTTATTTACCCTAACTATTCTAGTCTACTTCTTCTGTCCCTTCCTAGAAGTTCTCTTCTCCAACAGCATGTATGGATTCACATTATCATTTTTTAGAAATCAGTTACTTCCTCCTTAGAGGGACCAGCTGCCTCTTGCGGAAGTTTCGTATCGCTTAGGTTCAGTGATTTTTCTTTGCAATTTCTTCCTGTTACATTCATTCATGCTCCTACCTCCTCATAGAAATCAACATTTTTCTCTGCCTCTTCAGAAATTTTATCTTCTTTGTTTCCACACTGGAGTCCATCTCCCTTTTATGTTTAAGGGACACTTTATTCTCTTTGTTGATCCAGACACTGAGTAGGCATTATTGAAATCTCAATATCACACTTCTAGGAAGGAGACCAATGTACACTTTAAGCTTATTTGAAGTGAGATCCTTAGTCTTTTCTCATTCTTGCTAGTAGCTCCCCTAGAGAACTTGATATCTTATTAGCCCTAAGACCTTAGCTGCTTTTTTGAGCTACTAAGTCAGACATTTGGCTCATGATGAGTTCCAGCCCACTAAAATCCCCAGATCTTTTTCATATGAACTGTGGTTTTCACATTTCCCAAACCTATACTTGCTCCATTTTGCATTTGTTTGGCTGACTGATAACTCAAATGTAGGGTTTTATTTATCCCTATGGAATTTAATCTTATTAGATTTAGTCTGTGGTTCTAGTCTGTGGAGGGTTTTAGATATCTTGATTCTGTCATCTAACATATTAACTATCCTTTCCACATTTATATCATTCACAAATTTGTCTGATTCCTCCTCAATGCCGTCACTCACCAAATCAGCAGCCTGGGAGGTAAGAGAAGAAGCCCTGTTTTGGTGCCTTGGTACAAAATTCTAGTTTTTTCACACTAGCTCTGGCTCTGAACCCCACTACCTAACCCCTATATCTCTGACTTGCTTAAGGATTATGGAAAAGATCTGGACCAGTCCACATTATGGCTTAAGCTATAATAGCAGAAAGGGCCAGGGCATCATTTGGGATGCAAAACACTGGGGTTCTTCCAGAAGGCCAGCTACTAACATAATCAATAACGTTGCACTAAGGCCTGATGGGATCTTGGCAAGGAAAGAAGCCAACTATAGATTCGTGGTGGTGCAAAGAGGAGACAGAGAATGGACCGTGGCCAGAACCTAATTGGAGCCATCAGGAGACTGAACCAAAACCCAACAATTCCTCCATAGGCTGGGGCCTAGTCTTAACCACTGCATCCATGACCAATCAAGGCTTTCCCACTCCGTCCAAGAGTTTGGGAAATTACGTGAGTCTGACCAAAGAAAGCCCCAGTACAAAAACTGAAGCTGTATATATGGGTTAAAAAAAAAAAGAAAAAGAAAATTCCAGAAGGAAAAAACAAACAAACCACACACACATTGAAGAAGTCCTATGAACTGAGATAAGCCCAAGAAGCAGAAACCTAGAAGAAGAAAGGAACTCCACTAGTCCAAGGAGAGCCTCAGAAAAAATAAAAAATAAAAATCTTGGAACCAGCTTCAGAATTTTCTGTAATTCTCACTGATGTTCAACATTTAGGGTGAGTCAGAATCTTATTGTAGAACAGTTAGGTGATACTCATAGATAACTATGGCCCTCCCATCCCCCTACATAATTTAATTCTTTTATGCTTGTACTTTCCACCACCTTTTTCGAAGTCAAGTTAGAAATTCCTCCCTGGTATCTATTATCTTGCCTTTTTTTCTTTCACTCTAGTCACTGATTAAAATGTTAAGATGAATCTTTCTCCCACGTTTCCAAGCTTTAATCTACAACTATTACTTCCGATCTCAACAGTCAACTGAAATTGCTCTCTCCAAAGTTACCAATCATAATAATAGCAACTATTTACATAGTGCTTTAAGGTCTGCAAAGGGCTTTACGAATATCTCATTTTTTCTACCAAATGTAATGACTTCTTTTCAGAAGTCATTCTTCTTGACCTCTCTTTGGCCTTTGACACTACTGACCACCATTTTCTCCTAGCTACTCTCTCCTCTGCACATTTTCATGACACTAGTCTCTTCTGGTTCTCCTCCTATCTGTGTCTGAGTGTGCCTCCTCAGTATTCCCACACACCAGGTAAGTACCCTGAGGGAAAAGCATATCCTACCTAGTTGGTATCTTAAGACAATGTCATAGTCCCTGCATACTACTTCTGACTCTAATCCCTCCCATCTCACTCCTAAAAGTCTGAGTTGCTTCAGACGTATTGGAAAAGGTCTGGAAATCACTCCACAGCTTCAAGAGTAACTATTTTTCACTAATGTTCTGTGGGTATTGAGTCAGAACCTCACCACAGATTTAGTTAGGCACTATTCAAATGTAGTTATAGTACTTTTCCCACCCCTTTTAATCTGGCTGGTTGTCGCTTAGGTTGATTTATTCCTTTCATCTTCCTCTTTTCAGGCAACCAAAACAGGAGATCTTTTCTGGTATCAGACTCACAAAGAAAGTATAAATTGGTACAGACTGAGGTTAACTTATTCCAATTCTCATGATGGTGTCTGGTAAAATCTTTGACCTTCAAGCTACTGTAGTCTTTGAGTGACCAAATGAGCTGCTGGAGAAATAAGCAGACTCAGCAAGACTGAATAGTAATTGGTAAAAGTTCTATAGTACTTTAAAGTTTTAAAAGAACTTATCGCAACTCTGTGTGGTGGCTTATAGGTATTATTATCTCCATTTTATAAATGAGAAAACTGAGGGTCAAAAAGTTTAAGTGACCCACAGTGGTCCCACTAAGAAGACACTCAGGGTCCTTCTGACTCCAAGTCTAGCATGTTCTTCACTATTGCACTGGAATTTATCAGGAATTATTTGAAAATGACTGCAATACAAAATATTTATAAAGTGATTTTTATAAACTTTACAAATATTATCCATGTAAATCTTTTGCATAATAAATTTGTTTTGTTAGCATACTCTCTTTTTAATCCCCTAGGAATTCTAGAGGACAAATTATTACATCATGACACACACTTTAGGCTTGGGAATGCCATTTAGGGGATATAGCAAATTTCAGCCTTGAAATATCTTCAAATAAGATTCAGAGTTTCTTAGTACTGTATTTCAGTATCTCATTACTTTAAGTTGAGAAGTCTCCAAAATGATTATTGGAGGAGATTAAGGGGGAGGAAAGAAATTTTCATGAGGAAGAATCTTTTAAATCTATTTAATTTGTATCTAATACAAAATAAGTTAATTTTTCTTCCAGTTTAAAAAAAAATGCCTTTCTAACCAAAGCAAAGTACCTTTCTATTAGGCATAATGTGGT